TGCAGCTTCAATCTTTCTCTTTATCTCCACCAATGCTTCAGTCCTGACTTCTTCTGAGATGTGCTTCACTCTTTCCTTGTCACCAATGTCACAGAAACCAGAAGCGACAGCAATGTCGGTAGTCGTCATTTTCTCTCCACCAAAAACCAGGGCTTCAGAATGTAACTTGTAGCCAACGCTTAATGGGCCAACTGTTACTCCACCCTGATGCAATGATATTACAAATATGATTACATGAATGATTATATGAGGTCAACATAATATCACATGCCTTAAGGATCGAAGCTACATTTTACCACAACAGGCAATCCACGAGGGCCACCACAAGGGTTTAGCTTTATGAACTTTGCACAATTGAAAATGAGTGGCAAGGTGATTCATTTGCCATTCTATATGTAGACCAAATGAAGGATAAAGGTCCAAATTAATCCTTATTAATTATTGACATTATTATTATTTGCCAGCAGGTGCATATCCTGAGTTTGGGTACCCTGTGGGTACCCCTACACCCTTGTGATAATTGGTTAAGGATCTTCGTGAAGATCTTACTAAGGATCTCATCAAGGATCTTCATAAAGATCTCTTAAGATAGTGATCAAGATCTTAAAGGATTTTCCAAGGATCTTTATAATTATTCTTGCAAGAATGACTATAAAGAACTTGAAGATCTTAAAGACCTCAAAGATCCTGTGCAGTTTTTCATCAGGTATTGGCAAATTTTACCCCTATCTATTGTTTATATACAGCTCAATGAATTGCTACAAGGGTGAGACAGGGCTACATACAGAATTTCAGACTGGTCCAAGTGAGACAAACTTGAAACATGCAACAGGTTTGGTCTCCATTGTCATTCATTCATTTTTTTTCAATAAACAAAAAAGTAAATGAAAATATTTAGAAGTTATCATTAAATTTATTTTTCTCAAAACTATAATTAAAAAACCAATAAAAGTAACATAAGTAAGTAAGATACTAACTTGTGACTGTTCTACATGGGATCCACCTCCAAGACCCACACTCAGTACATCTGGCATTCGGAAGTTGGTGTTTACACCTCCAATCTAGTTTCATTTATTTTCAAGCACAAAATAGTAAGTTCTATTTAACCTCTCATTTAACAGCCTACTATTTGTTTGTTCCAGAAAAATTATGCACACCCTCTCATGGTTTGCACCCCTATTACCCCTCTGAGCTCATCTGGACATTTTGGTTTCAAAGCTTCTGAACCTTAACCCTCTCCCCTACCAATTTCAAGGCACCTTCAATTCCTGGGAGTCAGAGTATTAGATTAAATCCCTGGAACTGCACCTTGCAATTTATATTTGTGACATAATTAATGTAAGTGCTGGTATGTCACAAAGCAGTATGCCATTTGAAATGGTGTTTTAATGGGTAATTTCGAAGTCATAGGTACCTTAAAGCATGTAAAGATGGCTAATTATTTAATCAGGTCACTCATTTGCAACAAAAGTGGATCCTCTCGCATATGTTGTGTATGGTTTGATTTGTTGTAGCATAAAAAAAACCCATCACGTTTACAACCTACAACAACATAAGCAGTCAGAAGGAAGAGACAGAATTTTCTAACCCAAGGAAATGCAGCAATTGAACTTGGTTTGGTAATAAAAACTATAAATAATTATGTGGAAAAATTTAAAAGCTGCTCCAACAAAATCAAGAGAAAATTAAAAAGATCATAGAATTAAACTGCAAGTTTATAATAACTGCTATTAATAGATACCTTAACCCTTGTAGATGCTTGTCTTGGAAATCCCTCTTTAAGCACTCCTACATCTGTGGTTGTTCCTCCAATATCAATGACTATTGCATCTTGAATCCCAGACAGGAATGCTGCTCCTCGCATGCTGTTTGTTGGACCTGATGCAAACGTAAACACTGGGAGGTGTAGAGTTCGTTCAGCACTAGATAAGAACAAGAGCAGTAAAGGAATGTCAGCATAATTGGCCGCTGTCCAGGATGGCTAGCATTGAGTAAACAGACACTTCTCTTCTTGCATGTGATTTGTGCACTCAAAGAGAGAGGTCGGTTGGAGTCACAAAATTTCCAAAAATTACCCTTCAAATGGTGTACTAGCTTATTATATCAGAGATCCAAGTAACAACATGAATGGGTAGACAATCAATATAACTGAAAATTAAAATCAAGCTAGAATTAGTCACATGCCACAAGAATCTTTCCACAGCTTTGTCCTCAGAACTGAATTTCTGGTCAACTCAGCTGGACAATTGTCTCAAGTAGGAGAAATGGACCAAGCTCATAACAAGAAATTAGACTGTTATTAAATATTTACTGCCTGTATAACCTTGTTATGGTTCCATCATTCTGTGTGAGATAAAAGGGACATTTCAAACCAAGAGTCCTCAAAGCTGAACAGAATGCTTTCACTGTCTGCTGGCAAAGTGGTTTAAGGCTTTCATTTAAGACAGAAGCATTCTCTCGTTCTAAGAATCCTATCAACCCCACTTCATGGGAGAGCGTCATACTCATGGCTGGGTATGCAGATCTAATGATTTCAGCTACTTGCACTTCCTGTTTGTTGGAGGCAGGGGAGAACACTCCGACAATGACAATATTGTGTATACCTACAGTAGGACAGTAAAAGGGTTTAAGTCAGTGTTCTAATTCTGTAACGATTAGAAGAGCTTGGAATGAGGATTGGCTTATTAAAGCCGATAATTACTTAAGAACTAGGTGAGAATGAAAGGGTCTCCTCCAATCCAAACTTTTTTGACGAATCCCCATAAAACCTATCAAAGGATCCATTGCTCAATTCAGGCCTCTAAGCCAAAAAATGATATAAGCAAAATTGCTACCCACACAGGTAATGGGAATTAGGTCATGATCATACCATTTAATGCCTTCCCCACCTCTCCCCATCCCAGCATTTTGCCAGGTTGTTGTATTATGTGACAATTCACTGGCACCCATTGATATTTTAGGCCTGGTTTGAATCTGCCACTCTCTTGGGTTAATTGGTCCCTAAAGGTCCACCTCCTGTGCCTTTGGGGTAGTAGTGCAAGTCCTTTTCCCAAATGGTGGCTGGAAATTAAGCCTATTGATTATTCAAGAGGTGGAGATGTTTATGAATTCAATGAACTGCGAGAGAAGGTTGCCATGGCTCAAACCCAAGCCACTTAATTAAACTGGAGTCAAAACTCTTTAGGTAATTGCTGTCTGGGAAGACAACAAGATTACCCTGACGTGGCAGTTTTTGGCCAGATATGGGAACAAAGGATCACTTCCATGTTTTGAGTTGGCATCTGATAATTACTCCATCTTACCTGCTGTGTGCACTTCCTTAGCAACCCTCTTTACTTCATCCTCATCAACATTGGTTATACAAGAACAATCATACTGGTAGCCTCCATTCAGGAAAAAGTGCATTGAACCTATTGCCTTCCTCAGATCAGTAGGAAAATCACACAGAGGTGGAATAGCCATAGTTGCTGGTCCACATAATCTTAACACAGCTACCTTTGTGAGGCCTTTCCTTTGAACTATGGCATTCACAAAGTGGGTGGTTCCGATGTTGACCCTCGTCACATATTGTGTAGGACTTGGTTGAAATTCTTCTGGCAGCTCTCTCAGTGCTGAGCTGATAGCTCCAGTAATACCAGATGTAACGTCTGCTGTGGTTGGAACTTTAGCTGAGCTCAGCACTTCATTCTTTCTGAGAATTACAGCATCAGTGTTTGTTCCACCAACATCAACTCCAATACAAAGCCACATGTTTGACATGTTTCAGGTTTTCACACACGACCTTACTATCAGAGACAAAACAACACAGAGAACATGAAAAACAGTCAATTACAGGCATAGGAGGGAGGGAGTACACTAGAATAAATTAAATTTATACTATATTATATATGTAGAGAGATGGAGATTTGAAATTACCGATTTCAGTATTTTGGGTTTCATACGTTTTCCACTGTAAATATTGGTGAGTGGTGTTCTAAGGAGCATTGTTAGTTGGGGTGAGGGTGGAGGGAGTGGGGGGTTGATTCTTGTATGATGAAATCCAGGATTAAATAATAATTTGTTAATTATGTACCTCAATTTCGTAAACACACTGACACTGTAGCCATCCAGATTGCTGCCATCTTTTAGCAAAAGGTGCCGAACTTGGCTCAGCAAAAGCTGTTATGTCACAATGGAATAGCTTGCGTGGCCAGCGTTCAAAGAGGAGGGAGAGGGGGAAACTAGAAGCATACAGTTGAGTCCCATTATTCATGGTTCAACCCTTGTATGAGGACAAGAAACATAGAAAACTGCTTCTTCTTTTACCTGTATTGTTCCTGGTCAATATTTATGGAGGCAAAGTGGTTACTGCTATGCTACTAGATGATATTTCCTTCTGGCCTACTCTGAGATCTATTCTTGCATTTGTTTCTTATTATACAAATAATCAAAATCACTAGAACACTGACTCTGTTGCTTATTTCGCTTCATCTACATGCGAATGCAACAATGAGACCTAAAATGTTTCTGTTAGTTGTTTCTGTGCACAAATTATGTTCTTGTGATTTTGTTGATGATTGCAAAAGATATGCAGGTTATGATAAAATGACTCAATAACGCCATTACAGACAAATTTTGTCAAGAAAAAAAAAATTTGTCAAGCATTTTATCAGTGGAACTTGTAAACAGACAAAAATTATTTCCAATAACAATCGATAATAATCAATATTAATCGATCAATCAATCATTATCGATTACTATCCCAGCAATCGATAACAATTGAGCTCAAAACTTTTTTTCTTCATTGACTTTCATCCATTGCTATTGGCAATCAATATCAATCTATGATTGATATTGATTGTTATCGATTAATATCAATTATCAGTTCATTGATTGACTATGCCTGGAATATTCTACAATAGCTTACCTAGATGTGGGAAATCAGGACAGTACTAAAAGCAAGGCTTCTGATTGGCTTATTTTGAAATTTGACTATGATATTTCAATGTATTGGTGTCTGAGACATGTATACACCTCTTCCTAGGGTAGGTAAATATGGGTACCACAACTGCACTAATTAACGAATATCATGAGCAACATTTCAATAACTACACATCAACTCGATTCTGTGANGGGGGAGGGGGCACTAGCTATATAGGTATGTGCGGCCCAAACAGGGTATGGTTTTTTCAGCCTTTTTGGTCATAAATAGGGTATCAATTTTGGCCATTTTGGTCATAAATAGGGTGTGACTTTTGCAATCTAGTTTTCAACTGAGTATATCGTTTTTTTTAGAAGAAGCTTTTTCATCATTATTGATGAACCATCAACAAAGGCCCTTCATAACTTATGTTTAGGGCAACTGTGCCAGCCAAAACGGTCATAAATAGGGTATCAAATTTTTGGTCACGTCATAAATAGGGTAGGGAATTTTTCTTGGAGTACCCACTCTGAGGGGTCACAGGTACTCAAGACAACCCTCCNCCCCCCCCCAAGTAATCCTGGCCGAGGTAACATTTTACTTATTTCTTTGCAAAATTCAACCAACCGTTTACATGAGGGATCGCAAACCCGTCCCGGGGGGAGAGACAACTCGGGTTGGCGACTTGTCTTACCTCGACAGGTAGGGTAACCCTGGCAAGCGGGACAACTTTTCTTCATATAAACACTTTGGCTCGCCTAACCGGGACATTACTGTACTCTTGGCGGGGCGAGTGTCACGTAATGTCTAGATTTAGGATCTAAAGCAGAAATTCGTATCAAAGAAGTTAAAATTAAAGAAATTAAAAACCGACTGTGATCGAATGACCGAGGGAAACTCAAAGAAACAGGGATATTTGCACATTTGACTATTTAATAAGGGTTATGAATAATCATGCAGGGTCAACTTCGACTCGCGATCGGCCTAGATGGCCTACGTTTCATCATAGTCGATAAAGTTGCCTCAGGGGGAGGGTTGTCTCGGGTACCCGAGACCATATAAATGAGGCCTCAGTCCGTGCAACTAGCTGATGCAGAGCTTAAAGCTTGCACTATATATTTGAAAAGACGCTTTGGAATACTTCAGGTGAATTCAAGCGGAGCTTGAAAGAAGGCTAGCTAAACTTGCAGGTACATACGAAAATTAAGTGTAAGTTTTAAGCGTACACGAAGAATCTTACTTCAAACACGTATATTTAAAAACATAAACGATACCTTATTCCTCTGTGATCTTCCGATACCAGGAACTTTCCCGCTTTTTAGCACATTCTAATATCAATAAAATTGATGGAAATAAACGAACGATCCGAAATTGATAGAGTCACGCTAGGTCACGACAGTTCACCCGGAACTACCGTTTGATTGGATAACACTGACACATGAGTCGTGGCACCTACTTTTATATAAATACCACCAAACGAATCAGTCGTGAAAGTTATTTTTTTATAAAACAGATCAGTATTAGTCGGCTTTGTTATATAGCTAGTGTTTTTTTCCGGTACAGCGCGCCCATTCATTGGCTAGTTCACTATCACCTGACATCTAACAATGAAACTGTTTCCCGCTATGAGCGGCAATATTGCGAAAACTATGACGTCAAACGGGAAACAGTTGACTGTTACCCGCGAAATGTTGACAGCTGTCGCACGTCATTTGTCAAAAAAGTGACTATTTGTTTTCCACCTGTTTGACCCATTTTTTTGTGTGTGTTTTGCTTAATAACAAATCACTTAATGTTTCCCGAGACGAATCGGGAAACATTGAGATTCTCGGGAAACAAAATTCACTGTGACTAGTCATCAAATGTTAACTAGTTTTAGTTTACCTAAATGGTACAAACTGCTGCCGAAGGCAAGGAGGATGTAAGGAGTGTCAATGCAGAATAGGGTTGTTCCCATGCAGAACTCCTGATCGTCGGTAGCAGTAACAAACTGGTTTATTTAACTTCTCTGATTACAGCACTCAGCAGCACTAAGTTTCATCGCATTTTTCATTGCTCTCTTACACAAGTACACCCGAAATTTCCAGATACTTTTCTAAAGAATTAAATAGCATTGTTGCAAGGTTTCTAAATTCGGATATTACATGAGAAATAGAACATCCCAGAGAGTTTTAGGTCACAGCTGAATAACTTCCAGTTCGAGATTTTAATAACAACAACAAGCCGTAATTTTTGCGAAGGATTGGAATGAAGTGTATTCTTCCCCCGTGTGATTTCCAAAATGTTGACTACAGTTATGCAGATAAAACATTTAACAAATAAAGAAGCCTCGCCTGCGCTCTGTTCTGTTGTGAAGCACGTAGGAAGCGGTAGAGCACGAAAAAAGTGTAGGGGAAAACACGAGACGAAGTCGAGTGTTTTTCCCTACTTCTTGAGTGCTCTACCGCTTCCTA